TTATTTCCTTTCTATGGCTGCCCCTTAGCCGTTCCACCTCCTTCCCCACCCTCTGTGGAACTTCGACTCAACACGCCAACTCCAGTCGACGTCGTTTATTTCTTTAAAGCACGCGCTCCCTCTCCGTCCAACCAACCAAAAAAAAAACGAGGCACATGCGTGCACGGTGCAACACTAGACATATCTTCCTCAACATGTACTCACCCCCCCCCGGCCCCCCCGGCAACGCCGTGTTTTTTTTTCAAGCACGCGCTCTCTCCCCGTTCAACCAACCAAAAAAGAATGAGGCATATGCGTGCACGGTGCAACACTAGACTTATCTTCCTCAACATGTACTCACCCCCCCCCGGCCCCCCCGGCAACGCCGTGTTTTTTTTGTGAAGCACGCGCTCCCTCTCCGTTCAACCAACCAAACAAAAATACGAGGCTTGCGTGCACGGTGCAACACTAGATTTCTCTTCCTCAAGATGTACTCCCCCCCCCCGGCCCCCCCGGCAACGCCGTTTTTTTTTAAGCACGCGCTCCCTCTCCGTTCAACCAACCGAAAAATACGAGGCATGCGTGCACCGTGTAATAGCACCCCCACTTCCCTCTCCCGAAAAAACTCCACCCACCTCTCCTCTCCCCCCACACCCGACAGCAACCATCTCCGGACCTTCAGACTCTGCCTGGTGCTTCGCTAGCTGTGCCTGGTACTGCGCTAGCTCCAGCTGCATCTTCAACTCGTTAGTCCGAAGTCCTGGAGGTCCTGCCGTTCCCGCCTCTCGTCGTCCCGCTCGTCCTTCCGCGCCTTCCTCTCCCGGGCCCACTGCTCTTGGCGGAGTTCCCTCTCCCTCTCCCTCTCCCTCTCCTCCTTACGCTGCTGCTCGGCAAAGTCCCTGTCCTCCTTGCGCACTTGCGCAGCCTCCTTCTTCTCGTCCGAACGCCTACGGTCCTTGAACTCTTCCCGCTGCAACTGGAGCTCAAAAGCCTTATCCTGCTTCTGCGACGCCTCCCTCATCATCCTGCGGGGTTCAGTCAAGACAACAGGCGGAGAGGGACAGACGAGAGAGGCACAGACGAGACAACTGTTAGTCGGTATAAAGAGGCACAGCTATCTCAACGTACAAGTACCGACAATTCAGACGTCATCGAGCTTGCATCGAGCTTGGGTGCCAACCAAGCGACCATCCAACTGCCGTTCAAGTCGATCCNGAGTCGGTATGAAGAGGCACAGCTATCTCAACGTACAAGTACCGACAATTCAGACGTCATCGAGCTTGCATCGAGCTTGGGTGCCAACCAAGCGACCATCCAACTGCCGTTCAAGTCGATCCGTAATTTACGCTCACCTCATGCCAACACGAAAGCCAACGTGGGAGCTCAAAGGCCGTGTGCCGACCCCAGGACATGTGCTGAAAAACAGTTGCAAAAATCATGTCTCATCAGTCATTTACTGCAATCACTGACATCCCACAAAGACAGTCTTCGTCCATACTTACTGCAGAAGGCCATCCTCGCTCGCACGGTTGGTCGTGTTCCGTGTCTTCCTGCTGCTCTTCGGGGCACGCTTCCCACCTCCGCCGGCTTGTCCATCGCCCGACAAGTCAAACACGTCACTGCTGCCGCTGCTGCTGGCGCTGCTTGGATGCTCCGGTGAGGTGCCATTGTTGGGTTTCACGGTGCCGTACACAAGCAGGGTGGCCAGCTTCTCAGATAGCCCGTCTAACTCCTCCTCCGTTG